TAATAATAATAATAATAATAATAATAATAATAACAATAACAACAACAACAACAACAACAAGACCGATGATCGTAATAATGATAATAATATACAGTTACCTGAGGAAGAAACCACCCCTGTTCATATTTATGTCTGCGCTGGTCAGTTTCCTGATTTTAAAATCTTTATTTTGTTCATTACTGAGTACAGAAATGGAAAACATTATTGCTGAGTGTGTCAGATTTGAGGTTTTAAGGTTTTCACGGCGCCACATGCCAAAAGACGGCATTACTGCTGATTGCTCTCTCGGGTCACTGCATTTGTGCCATCTGTGAGCGAACTACTGCTACTATGTTCATCTAAGCAAGTCCAGAGTTCGCATGCCAAACATGTAAACGTCAGCAAAGTGTGGTTATGTTGATAACATAGTGGTGAATATTTTGTTTACTCTTGTCGTTAGTTCAGTTTAAAGGGGAGACATGACAAATAAATGCGTTTGTGTTGTAGTTCTCGGAGATTTTGGGAGAAGTCCACGTATGCAATATCATTCATTGTCGTTTGCTAAAGAAGGTTATGAAGTTGACGTTATAGGATACGGAGGTTCTCAGCCGATAAAAGAACTGTCAGAACACCCAAAAGTGAATATTCGCACTTTACCCTCATGCCCTGACTTCCAAAAATGTTAGTGTTTTATTGTTTACACGTATTTATATTCTGTTAACAATGTTATATTTTAGCGTCCTGTTACACTGATTCATATCCATGGTTTATGCTGACCGTCTTACAGTGTATACACTTTTTCACCTTATTCTTCACTTCCACACTACATGTTTCAGCGCTAATGTACCATCTTCAGGTGTCTTTATGCACGTTAAACTATTGTACTGCATGCCATAATGTCTTCATTCTAAAATTACCAAAATCTGTATTCGTCATATAGGACGATGAATTCTAAATAATAAAACTTTTCAGGATTCTGCCTACGTCGCACTCAAAAACGCGAATTATGCCAATCCTCTTTTATGTGAGCATTCTTCCTACATATATTTGTGTATCGTGTTCTGTGTTGTCTTTTGCTCCTGTTACTGCATGCGTTGTACTGCTGGATCATAGATTCACATCTGTTGTAGAAAAATCTGATATTTATCATTTTCCTTTGCAGATTGCCCACGATTGGTAGCATATGGCCTGAAAGTGATATGGCAGAGTGTATCATTGCTCCTAGCTTTACTTTTCAAAAGACGTTCCAATCATGTTATTGTGCAGAATCCTCCAGCTATTCCTGCATTGGCTGTGTGTTGGTTTTACAGTGTTATCATGTTTGCAAACTATGTCATAGATTGGCACAACTATGGTCACTCCATCTTGGCTCTCACACTAGGTCAGCAACATAAGCTTGTCAGCATATCAGTGTGGTTTGAGAGTTACTTTGGCAGAAGAGCAACTGCCAATCTTTGTGTTACCAAAGCAATGAAGGAAGATTTGGAAAAGATATGGAAAATCTCGTGAGTTGTTTTTTATAGTGTTTGTTTTGTATGTATAATAATAGTGTCTATGTACACAAAGCAAAAACAAACGCTACTATCAGGCAGGGCAAAGAACACAGTTAAAGGGGCATACATGATCACTGCACCAACACAATTGGGAACTACATATACACAACACATGCTGTTGCAAAATGAATCCATCACAATGATAATTGTATAAAAGGACAACAGCCCCCAAGCAGAAATATTGAAATTTTAATTAGGCTTTATTTGATGTTTAACAATTTGTAGTGATTTTTAATAACGTACATTTATTTTAAGTGTGAGATGTCACATTCACACGTGATATGTGGAGTTGCACATACTACACAGTGAAACAGTTCTAGCAAATAGACACCTGATGATGGCCGCAGACAGCCGAAACATGTAGTGAGGAGGGGAGGGAAGTAATAAATTTATTGCATTGTGGACGGAAGTACGGTGTACAAATGATGGGCATAATAATCACCTTTGAAGCCTGAGCATAGCATAGCAGTAAATGGCTGCCGGCCCTCACCAGCACTGTTGTTTTTGGTTTTGAGCCCTATCAGGACTCATGACCAAATTTCAGATTTTTTTTTTCTTTCCAAAACCATATATATGCTTGGAAATTGAGCCTCTTTTTGAAAACAGGATGGGTTGGTCTTTCTGATTAGGTGTCACAGCTGTTTCCTTTCAAATACTTTCAAATTTATTTTCTATTGATCTTCCTGCAGTCTGACATTATGTAGTCTATATACAGGCAGTATTTTTAAATAACCAACAATTTATTTGTTGTTTATTTAGCAATACTGTCAGTATTGTCGTACCAACTGAAACACTGCTATTTATTGCTGCTGTCATATGGTAATATTGTCACTGAGATCAATTTTGCATTTTATTTCCATGGAATGACCTAACAGGAAATGAACGAACATTACAACAAACATTTCTCTGATGGGACTATCTATATATCCGTGTTTTAATGTAACAAAGAACACGTGATGTAAATTTACAGATGTCTGTTTGTAAGTATTGGATGTTTTCTGTTCTAGGGCTGTCACACTGTATGATCGACCTCCTGAAGTGTTTCGGCCCATCTCTGTATCCGAGAGCCATCAGTTGTTTGTGTCCCTTGAAAATCAGTTCCCTTCGTTCGGGACCAGTGACTGTTCTTCCACGACCGCATTCACAAGACTACTGCCAGATGGTAGAGCGGTTTGGAGAGATGATCGTCCAGGTCTGATTGTTTCCAGCACAAGTTGGACTGAGGATGAAGATTTCTCTATACTTTTGTCTGCTTTGCAAGGTAATAAATATTCTTAAGCCAGTTCTGAAGGTTTCTGGTGATAGTGCAGTACACTTGGGATTACCGAGCTTCTAGACTTTGTCCATCATCTCATATTCTGAATATGAGACAACAGACAAAGTCCAAAAACTGAGTAATCTCTAGTATTTTTAAGTTTCACAGCAAGACGACTATTATCATCTATCTACTGAGATATGATGTCGTGTAGTCTGGTAGAAAGTTATTAATAGTTTGAAGGAACCTACTACATCTGTCCTCTACCCTGAAGATGGAGGCAGCAGGTTCCTCTAGAATGTTGCTAATTATCTACCAAACTACACAACATCACATCCCAGAAGAGAGTAGTCTCACAGCTATAATATACTTAAATCATCATCCAAGGCTGCCATAGCTCAGAGGTTAGCTGCCTGCTTCCCACTACAGTGGCCAAGGTCAGGCCATATGGGATTTGTGGTGGACAAAGTGGCACTGGGGCAGGTCTACTCAAAGTACTTCGGTTTCCTCTGCCAATTCTTATTCCACTGACTGCTCCACACTCATCATGTATCATCTGGGGCTGGTACAGTAGGCCAAATAGTGGCTGATGTAACAAGTGGACTTAATCTCACCCCACCCCAAGAAACTAAAAGAAAGAAAACTAAACCAACATCCACTGACAGTTTCACACGCATGGCTCTTCATATGCCAAATTCTTCTCCAATCTTTCCTCTTCTCCTGTAGATACTTCCCCTTTTCTTTGTCCACTCTTCCCTTGCTCCTTTTGTATGTCTTCCCTGACTTTGTCTCATCTCACCATTGCTTGTTCATGTGACATCTTGATGAGAATCCTCTTTGTCAGACTTCAAGTTCTCATGGAAGTGAACAGATTACTGTTCTCTGAGATGTGACACCTTGTAGTCTTGTAGGCAGCAACATTCAGAGAAACCTGCTGTCTCCATCTTCAGAGCGAAGAATAATTCTGTATTTATTTCATTGGATATTGTCTGCATTATGGGGTACATGGTAGCATAGTTTGTTGAGGCACTATGCTACAAGCCAGAAGGTTGGGAGTTCGATTCACGATTTTTCAGTTGACCTAATCCTTCCAGCTGCACTATGGACCTGAGGTCGACTCAGCCTCTAACAGAAATGAATACCAGAAATCTTCCCGGAGGAAAAGGCCAGCTGGCACATAAGGCTGACAACCTTACCACTAACTGTGAGCTGATTGTCTAGAAAATGTGGGAGCCTCAACATCTCACAGCCCTGTGGGCCTCCACGGCCTGTTACAAGGATAGCATTTTATTGTCAACATTGTACAAGGACACCACACAGAATACTACTAAAACTAAAAAATATGCTAGGAGAAAAATAATCTCTTCTAGTAGTATAATGCACTGTATTTCATGTTTATAGCTGTGCTCAGTTCATAGGTATGATTGTTCATAAATGCAACTTAATTACAGAGACATCCTGTATATAAAAAAATGTTACTTAATAAATATCTTGTTAACACCTGTATTTTCATATTGTGGTCTTGGGGACTTATGACACAGTGTTGTTATCTGCTAGGACACCACAATATGGTGTCATGACTCAGAAAACCACAGTATGAATATTCATTACTGTGAAAACCTCAAATTGTATGCAATTAAGTTTATTTCAATCCAATGCAACATATAATGCCTTCGCCACTTCAGCACTTAGTTACCTAACATGTTTCGATTCTTAATGAATCATCATCGGAGGTATACCACTACGATCAGGAACCCACCAATACGTAATTGTTTTTATAAGACTATACACTTAAAACATTTATGATGCTCACTATATGTAGTTGTTAATTTTCCATTATCGAAATAGATGTTTGACATAAACTTTTATAATAAGAAACATTCTTGAAGTATATTACTTAGAAGGGATGTATATGCAGTCACTTCCATAAAGTAGAGTTTAAAAATTTTCCACTGCACTGTATATAAAATCAGTTTGTTTCACCACAGCAGCCTTCCCTTACGTTAAAATTATGTTCTGATGTGTGTAAAAACTTATTTTTAAGTTAAGAACTTTGTTCGTGAACCGATATGGATCGTGTTTTATCCTCCTTGGTAGTGGATATTGTCGTCTGTCTCTCTTGGTGATGTGTTCTGTAAATATATTATAAATTTTAGATTATGTTATATAGGTATTTAAAGATGTATTAGGTGCATAATGTAATAAAGTTTTTAGATAAGTCTTACCTTGTTTTTACTGGTGTAGTTTATATGCGTGCTGAGTTGCTTGTACTGTTTTGAAGAGTGCTGTGTCATGTAGTTTATATTTCTTGTGTTTGTGATGTTGATGTGGGTGTGTTCAGGTGTTGTATTATAAGGTCAAACATGTTTTGTTGGTTATTAGTTTCTTTTATTTGTTTTTGTTATTATATGTCACACTGGACTGAAATAAACTTAATTGTAAACTTAATAGTGTGACAGACCAGAATGAAACAAACCAAATTAAATTGTATGATTTTCATTTTCTGTTTTGAAGATTATGAGGAGTCATGTTGTGATGAACACTGTGAACTGCCGAGCCTGGTCTGTGTTATCACAGGGAAGGGACCACTCAAAGAGCATTACTGTCATCTTATTAAAGAAAGAACCTGGAAAAATGTACAAGTTGTAACACCATGGCTGGAACCAGAAGATTACCCACGTCTGCTAGGTATGATGCCTGTTGGGTGTGCTCCATAAATTTATCCATGCTTGTTATGTTCTGTAAGGTTAATTACATCTGTTAGATCGGGTTCTCGAGATTTAGTAACTTAGAGATGGGGTTTGGATTGGTAATTGTATTTTTGGACTCTTTACAGACTGTAACTACATGTAATAATAACAGTTTCCTTGATTTGCACACTTAACAATTCACTGTGCTGCAGCACACATAGGGCTTCTGTTTCTGGACTAGGCATTTGTCTGGCAACGGCTCCCTATGACATTAATTCCTCAGCTTCCATCCTAACCCAAGACAGTAACTTCGCCTTTTCATCTCCTGAAAGTCCAGTAAATTGCTGCTGGCCCTCGCCAGCATTTTGCTTGTTCCAAGTCTATTTATGTGTTTGGAAATGGAATCTCCTCTTCAACGAGAGGAGGGGTTTGTCTTTAAGAGTATGTGCCACATTTGTTGCACCATAATTTATTATGAGTGTACCCACACTCATGCAGCATCCATGTAAGGGCATCTGTACTTTATGGGCACCATGCAGACTTTGTCTCATTAATACAATGAACAATTCTTATTCAAGATGTACAAAAGACGACTGTCAGTGCAGGATTGTACAATCAAAGTCAAAGTCATATTGCGACTGACGGTCAGTCAGTCAGTCAGTAAGTCTTGGTGTCGAGCCCCATCTAGGGCTCATGACCAGATATTAATTATTACTGTTTGACAAATACGGTCTTCTTTTTGTGGGGCGCCCTCTCTGACGAGAGGACGGGTCTGCCTTTTGCATACGCTGCTGGCCCTTACCAGCGCGGTCTTTCTCAAGTCCGAGTCCCTTGGGACTCGTGACCATATTTTACTGTCTCAGATTTGAGACTTCCCTTTTCGTCGCCTCCTACGACTCGCAGGGTCACGGTGGAGGTATTCGACCCCGCCTCCACACGGGCAGATTGTACAATATATTATGCCTTTATTTATTTACCATTTGCACTGACCCAACAGAGAACACCACCCCCAACAGTTCATCTATTGTTGGCAGTCACGTGACCTGGTTTCTGTGGAAACGTGTTTACAGAGCCATTGCCTAGCAACAGCCATCTCTTCAGGTTCTATTCCAGCTTTGAGCTCTTGTGTCACAATATGATTTCAGAGATTATCCACGAATGTTAGGTGTGCTGCCCAAGATTACCCAGACCTGTCAGGTATGCTCCATGAGGTTATATGTGAGTGTTATGCATGCTCTGTAATGAAAGCAGAATGGAGAGATCATCTATCCATGTACATGTTATAACTAACTCCATGGAGCAGAGATCTTCAAAAGCTAATAGTTGCTCCGCTAGTCAAGATTTTTTTTGAGCATTTTATGTAAATGTTCATGACCTTGTTCACATGAACCAAATGAATCCAGTCGAAACCAATCTGATCCTAGAACAGCACTATTTTCTAGGATGGCACATCATGAAGACATTTGGAGAGCAGAGGTATAGCTCCACACATTCTTAACCTCAGCATCAGATGGAGATGAGTAGTCAGGTTTTCATATTCTTTAACAGCAGGGCAAGCACCCTCCTAGTACCCACTGGATAGGAGGTTCAGTCGGTCCGAAAGCTGGTCTGGATGCTGTGCAGAAATGAAAAATATCTTGCACCCTTGTTGGGAATGGAACCCCAGTCAACTTGATCGTCCACTCCACACCCCATTGCTATACGAACTGAGCTGTCCCACCTGTGATGAAGCATGTAGGTGGATGGAAACTGTTTTACTTGTTTCAGCAAGTGCAAATCTAGGAATATGTCTTCACACGTCATCCAGTGGGCTCGACCTCCCAATGAAAGTAGTGGATATGTTTGGCTGTGGTCTGCCAGTGTGTGCATACAATTTCAGGTGGTAAGTTATTCTGCAATTTGCAAAACATAGAGCAGGGCCCTTTCTGAGAGGTTAAGAATCCACTCAACTGCTCAAGAAATTCCTCGCCTTTCATGAGACCTGATGCTTCATTACTGTCTTCTATGTTGTGATGCCACATAGTCTAATAGCTCATTACTAATGCTTTGGAGGAATCTGCTGCCTCCATCTTCAGTGTTGGAAAGTAAGTTGAGCTGAGAGTAGGACCAAAGCTGTAGGTGGCTCTGAAAAGTGATGGGCATATGGAGGGCATATTCAGGGGGACAAGGAAATTGTAGGAGGTAGGGTAAGAGAGGACATACAGGAAGAAGAAAAATAAAATAGACACTAATCATCATAATCACTGCCATGAGAACCTGCCTCTGGACCCTATCCTGAGCCAGATGAATCCAGTCCATATCCTGCTTCATTAAAGTCCCTTGGAACAAGTATGTTCATTACCATGTTCAACAGGATCTGCCCCTGCATCCAGGTCCAAACCTCTGTGATGTGACTTCAAGGTAAAGTGATGACAGGAACTCTGATAATGGACTGACTGTTATGAATTACTAGACTGAGCACTGTTAGCCTGAAATCCTTGATGTATGTGATTGTGGATGTAAAGTAAAAGTAAAGTAAAGGTTTCCCTGTAACAAGCCCTGGAGGCCCATAGGGTTGTGAGATGTTGAGGCTCCCACATTTTCTAGACAGTCGCCTCACAGATGGCAGTGAGGTTTGTCAGCCTTACGCACTGGCCGCCCTTTATCCTCAGGAATATTCCTGGTACTCATTTTTGTTAGAGGCTGAGTTGACCCCAGGGGTGGGTGCAAACATAAAAGAGTTATACAGTGCAAACAAAATTTGTAAGGTACCTAACAGATCTTTTGAAAATGTGGCACAGTTCAAACATTTAGGAATGACAGTAACAGATCAAAACTTGATTCAAGAGAAAAGTAAGAGCAGATTGAATTGGTAATGCTTGCTACCATTCAGTCCAGAACCTTCTGTCTTCTTGTCTGCTATCTAAAAACATAAAAATATACAAAACTCTAATTTTGCCTGTGGTTCTGTATGGGTATGAAACTTGATCTCTGACATTAAGGGAGGAACATAGACTGAGGGTGTTGAGGGGAATATTTGGACCAAAGAGAGATGAAGTGACTGGAGCTTGGCGAAAACTGCATAATAAGGAGGTTCATAACTTGTCCTGATCTCCAAGTATAATTAGAATGATCAAGTCAAGGAGGATGAGATGAGCGGAGCATGTAGCACGAATGGGAGAGAAGAGGAATGCATATAGGATATTGGTGGGAAAGCCAGAAGGAAAGAGGCCACTAGGAAGACCAAGATGTAGGTGGGTGAACAATATTAAAATGGATCTTAGAGAGATAGGATGGGGTGGTATGGACTGGATTGATCTGGCTGAGGATAGGGACCAGTGGAGGGCTCTTGTGAACACGGTGATGAACCTTCGGATTTCATAAAATGCTGGGAAGTTCTTGAGTTTCTGAACAGTTGGCAGCTTCTCAAGAAGGGCTTAGATGCATGCAGCTAGTTTAGTAAGTTATGAATTGTGAAATTTCAGCTTTCAGGGCATATCCATGTCATGCATATCGAAGACACAAACTGAATATGATTTCATTTCGTTTCTCCAGACTTTCGTTTTAACCACAAGGTCCCTTTCCATTTCATACCACCATACTCTCCACCCCCCACTCTTACTTCCATCAGGCAACATCCTTATTCATCCTGAAGATGACAGTTGCATTGTGTGCAGAAATGTTGGAACAACTTGTGCACAGATTGCTGCTAGACCATGAGAGCCAAACTTACGCGTTAGCTACAGGCTGTGGAAACCTAATGACAAGAAGAGTTGCAGGTTATTTATACAATGTTGGCAGCCAAGTATGTGTCAGACAATTTCCATCTGGTTTAGAAGATGTCACAAGCTTAGAACTTTTTCTATTCTTATAGCCTGAATGAGCTGGTAAAACACGACATAAATGGCTGGACATTTGACAGTGCTACTCAACTTTCTGATCAGCTTCAGGCTTGGTTCCGAGGGTTCCCACACAGTAAATCACAGCAGGAGAGAGAGACAAGATTCAGAAAGGAACTGGAGAATTTTCAGAAGTTACGTTGGCACGAAAATTGGACGTTCAGTGCTTTACCTCTCTTCACGGTACATTAAAACAGTACCAGGTTAATATGTAAGTAGCAACTGCGTTTATGTGTTAACTAAGAATGTCCTTTTATGTAGTGTCAAAAGTGTAACTCTCATGTTACTCATTTTGGTGAGAGCTGGTGTGCTTGTCAGTGAGGTGACCAGGACAGCTGGAGAGTATGAGCTTGATTCAAAGCAGGAGCCAAGGTTCTTCTGTTCCCCATAGCATTCAGACTGGCAGTGGGGTCAGCGAGCCTCTGATTCAGTGACCAGGGCATGAAGCTCACCACTCATCTCTGTTTGGTGCCCAGTTTAAGAATGTATGCAGCCATATTCCTGTATCTCCATATGTCTTCATGGTAAAGGTAAAGCTGTCCCTGTAACAGGCCGTGGAGGCCCGTAGAGTTGTGAGATGTCAAGGCTCCCACATTTTCTAGGCAGTCGGCTCACAGATGGCGGTGAGGTCGTCAGCCTTATGCAGTGACCACCCTTTACCCCTAGGAAGATTCCTGGTACCCATTTCTGTTAGAGACTGAGTCGACCCCAGGGCCATAATGCAGTAGGAAGGATTAGGTAAATTGGAAAAAAATCCACCTCATCAGGATTTGATCCCGTGACCTTCCTGCTTGTAGCGTAGTGCCTCAACCAACTACGCTACCGCATGCCCATGTCTTCATGGTATGATGCTGATCTAAACAGAAGCAGAAATTTAACCTCTACGAACTTTTAATATAGTGACTGATGGATGTTTAATTTTTTTTAATGCTAGTGGGGTGGAACTAAGTCCCTTGTGCTGCGGCCACTTCTGGCCTATTGTACCAGCCCCAGATGATAGGTGAGGGTGGGAATGAAGATTGGCAGGGGAAACCGAAGTACTCGGAGAAAACCTGCCACTTTGTCCACCACAAATCCCACTCGACCAGACCCAGGCCGCCGCGGTGGGAAGCCAGCGACTAACCGCTTGAGCTATGGTGTGGCCCTAAGTTTTAATTTAGTTCATCCTTAAGAAACAGTCACATGATTGAAGATCACAGTCTTCTGGAATGACAGCATGTAATCTGGTACAAGTTCTGCAACATTTTAGAGGAACGTATTGCCTCCATCTTCAGCGTTTACCAGAATACAGTAATCCTTGTAAACTTTGTCTATAAATTCTTTCAGAGGGTCATACATCGAGTAAGCAACCTTATGGGCAATGTCATGAGTTTGACATCTCTGGTATGACAATTTTGGTTCCCATTTTATGTTGAAAACAGAATATAGTACCCTGAAAGTAAGAAGGTAAAGTTGTCCCTGTGCTTAACTAATTAAGCACTATGCCATTAAGGTGTATGGGGGAGTAGATGTTTAGATCCACATTTTCTTGACCTCAGAACTAGTTTTAGGTCAATGGTTAGCTTCATGCCCGGGCTACTTTACCCCAGGTGGGCCCCTGAACTGGTCTGGACATGGTGAAAATTCTTGAACCTACCAGGACTCGAACTCCAACCCCTCAGTCGTCCAGCCTGTAGCCAGTAGGTATACCAACTACGCTATCCTTAAAATGTTGTAATGGGTCAGTCACTATTGAATGATTACATGGTGTCAAAGATACTTTAGAGACAGAATATCCATGGCTATGAGAACCTAAAATCTCTGTGACTTCATTAATGGTGAGTGATTAGTTAAGACAGAATAATACCAGTAATGGAAGTAAGCCCTGCTTACTAAGTCGTTTTTCTGTGTTACAGATAGCCACTCTGTTCATTCCAAACTGATCTGTGATAACTCAACTGTTATATTCACAGCCAGTGGTGTTGCATCGAGGTGAGTTCATACTTACATGATACTGTATCAGGTGCAGAGGTTACTGATGTGGCACGAAACAAGACAATATGATGATAAAAATAGTGGATTTTAATTGAGTTAAAAATGTTGCATTTAATCCACGTGGTGTATTTAGTGATTCACATGATTATCACAGTAAACAGTGTCTATTTCTCAACCAGCATTTACTGATTGATCTTTCTAAAGGAGACATAATGTGTTTCCTGTGAGGTACGAACTTAATTTCTAAATATTGTTTAGATGAATAAAACTACCAAACATAAAGTAACTATGACTTGACTGAGCTGCAGTGGGAGAATGGAAGGTGACGAAGTGACTGGCCTACTTCAAGGTACCATGACAGTATCTATCTAGAACTGAGTGAAGTAATGGAAATCCTGAACAACCCTTCTGCCCTGGCACCTCCCAAACAAAATTAAGACATTACTCCTGAAGACACCTTGATTGGGTGACTGTACCAAAACACACAGATTTCAATAAACATGATTATTTTGGGCATCAATCATCACCATGAGTTTTATAAAACATAGTAAAGGTATCCCTGTAACAGGTCATGAAGGCCCATAAGGTTGTGAGATGTCGAGGCTCCCACATTTTCTCGGGACACTCAGCTCACGGATGGTGGTAAGGTTGTCAGCCTTACACGCTGGCCACCCTTTACCCCCAGAAGATTCCTGGTACACATTTCTGTTAGATGTTGAGTCAACCCCAGGGCCATAGTGCAGCTGGAAGGATTAGATGAAGTGAAAAAAATCCACCTCATCGGGACTCGAACCCGCAACCTTCTGGCTTGTAGCATAATGCCTCAACCAACCATGTGCTACCTTTATAAAACACAGTATATTCAGAAACTCTGTTTCCATCATCCAATAGACTAGCTTCTTAATACGCCCAACTAAGTAAGAACCTTCCTGTCCTTAACCCTGATGATGAAAACCATTCAGTTTCTGAAATGACAAGTGTCAAGAAAACACAAGATGATGAACAGTGCCCAGAATAAAAATAATGTTTATTATAACGTCAAACATTTAGACTTAACAAACATTTCACACACCACAAAATTTATGAATAATCGTCTATTTTTATTTTTATTTAGAAAATGTTCTGAAAAACTGAACAGATTGTATCATTGACTTTTAGAAAACATATGGAATGAAGGTCATATTCACACAATGTGCTGAGTCATGTACAATGTTTCATAACAGAAAGTTCAAGACGTAGGATGAACTCTACAACACACTTCTCCACTCACACCAGGAGCTGTTCAATTTCCTGCTGAATTGACTGGATCTGTGGCTTGAGCTGTGAACCCTCATTTACAGTCACCGAACATGCCACAACCTGCCGAGACACTCCGCAAGCTCGACCTAAAGCTGTGTAAACAAGAACACTTTCATCAATGGTGATATTCTGAGAACATTCTATTTTCTTTGAAGTTAAAGTTTTCCCTCTACTTAAATACCATATAACTTCGGATTTAAGATGCATCCAATTTTTAAATGAGGGTTTAAGAAAAGGTGTATTTATTTCAGTGGGTTTATTTAGAACACAGAAAAGCAATGGAAAATATACCAGAATGAAATGGAAATCCATAATTTTCACTGCATGGACATTCATTTATATCATTTTTATTTAATCAGAAAGGTCATCCAGTGATCCTTCAGTCGGATGATGCACCCTTGCCACTTTGTTCACTGTCATCCCAAATGTCATCTTGCATTCCATCTGCATTAGACAAACAGCACTTCCAAAAATGATTTAGGAATAATATTGACTGGAGCTTGTTTCCAAGCTTTTGATATCCACTCCACTATTACTGATACTGATGCTCTCTTATTTTACCACTAGGTGTCACTACATGACATACTGTAACATAAACTATGCATTTACTACACTCTGCAGCCTCTAAAAAAAAATTTTTAACTTGCTTAGTAGAGGGTGCAGTCCAGCTGGGTCCACTCGACACATCAGCCAGTGATTGGCCTATTATAACTGCCCCGGGTGATTATGATGATGGAGAATTTCGTGGGATGGAGATTGGCAGGGGAAACCGAAGTACTCAGAGAACACCCACCCCAGCACCACTTTGTCCACCATAAATCCCACTTGACCAGACCCGCCATCGAACCCGGGCCACCACAGTGGGAAGCCAGCGACTAACCGCCTGAGCTATGGTGCAGCCTTTCTGCAGAATGCATGAAATTTCCAATCATGGGTATGAATGCCGGAGTTACCAGATTACAAAAGTTAATTATTGATAACTACAATGACAGCCCTGAATTCACAATCGAGTTGAACTCCATATGTTATCGTTCTTACCTTGTTTCGATCGTACAAATACGTAAGGTACATTTTTATCTTCACAGAGCAGAGGCAAATGGAGCAAGATTTCTAATGGTTCTGCATCTGCAGCCATCACGATGAACTCTGACAAACCGCGGTTGAGAGTTTTTGTAGCTGTAAAATAAATGTCATTACCAGAATTTCACAAAAAGATCTATTGCAGTTCACTGACACTATATTGCTGTTGCATTGGACCCCTGCCCCATTTAAGGTTTCTTTGGAAAGCAGATTTGAACACACAAGTCATGAAAATCTTAAAAGGAGAAAATTTAACACTGGAGTAAGTGGATCTGGTCATTAGATGCGGGAAAACCTTAAACTGTAGTTCCACTGTGATCTGTTGCCAACGGTTCTCATCTCACTGCAAGTCTCAATTAAAATTATATGGGCTGAGCTGTGATACTTTGTAACCTTGTAAAGGAGCTATAACATTTGTGAAAAACCTGCCTCCATCATCAGGGTAGAACAGGTTGCACCATATGTAATGCTTAAGCTGCTTTATTAACACAGCTTCTGAAATTGGCATATAAAGATAGGTTTTCCTTGTGCTTTAAGCATCATGCCACAAAGACATATGGGCAAACTGAGGTATAGCTCCAGGCATTCAGAAATCAACATACCTTCATTTGCGCCTTTCCGTAGCTGCTTGTAGTTCAAAGCCTGTTGAATCAGATTCAAAATCTTGGTAGTAAGACTGGCATCAGCCAGTGGATATGCTTTTGGGTTCACTTCCTCAGTCTGTAAATCACAAATATGGTACTTAGAAACAGCCATCAACAAATATGATAGTCTAGTCACTAACAGAAACCTAAAAGTAGTTCTGGTGACTAATTTCTCACTTGGTGTTTGAGAACTGACTTTCAGAGTCCTAGGAAATCTGACATGGTCACTCACGGCACAGGAAAAATGGAAAATTACATCCAAAGAACTTCAACATAATCAGTATTTTTTTTATTGCTAGTGGGGTGGGACTAAGTCCCTTGTACTGCGGCCACTTCTGGCTTATTGTACCAGCGCCAGATGATAGGTGAGGGTGATTATGATAATGGAGAATTTGGTGGAATCAAGATTGGCAGGGGAAACCAAAGTACTCGGAGAAAACCTGCCCCAACGCCACTTTGTCCACCACAAATCCCACTTGACCAGACCCTGGATCAAACCCGGGCCGCCGCAGAGGGAAGCCAGCGACTAACCGCTTGAGCTATGGCGCGGCCAACATAATCAGTAAGCGATAACAATCTCATTTAATTAATGTAAGTTTTTCCACATTAAATATTTCGCTCTCCCAAGTGTACAGGACAAGCAGTACAGCAGGAAGAAATTAACCTTGTGTGCCATGTGGAGGGGATGGCCACTGTAAGCCCCCAAAAATACTAATCTGCCTTTTCTGCTGACCAAAATATTTGCCTAGCCAGCTAAGTTAAAAAAAAAAATTCACTCACCACTTCCAGAAAATAGGCACTGCACTTTTATTTTTAAGACAAAACTGGCATTATACAGATCACGTTAAATCAAAGATGATGAGATGGGTGGGGTCTGTAGCAAGCATGGGAAAGTGAAATGCATGGAAAATTCTTGTTGGAAATCCTGAAGGGATGTGACTAGATGATGTTGGTAATATTACAGTGGACCTTAAAGAAACAAAATTGAAGCGTGCGCACTGGAATCATCTGTACAGGGACCTGTGGCGCTCTTGTTGATCTAAAAGTTTGTGACGATGGTAGACTGCTACAAGTATCATGTTTTTGGACATTATCCATCATCTTGTCTACATTTAAAAACCGTCCTGTTTATTTTTCAAAACAACGTTTCAGAGACTGGATTCTATCTCCATCCTCAGGTAAAACTACTCAGTTAGGTCCAATAGATAGAGCTAGTCACCTACCTCCCGGTCCAGAGATAGGGACTATATCTATTGGGCGTAGCTCAGTGGGTTTTACCTGAGAACAAAGACAGCATCCAGTCTCCGAAACGTTGTGTCTTGTTAACGTGGTCAGCAACCTCTGGGTTCCATTAAAAATTTAATATTCTTGAGCAGCTGAGCAACTACTGGCTTCTCAAGAATTCTGGCCCATACAGTTAGTTATAGGTTACATTACCATTATGCATAAACAACGTTGTATCAATAAAGGCACAAATAAATGGCCCGAAGGCCTTTTATGAACAGCCAAAGCTAAAGTTCATTTCCATCTCCAATTCATTAACATTCAAATGCCGCGCTAGCCTGTGCGTATAACAAGATTTAGAAGAGGGCTCTAAAAACTATGTGCTAGGTCCGAACCCTACCTGAATCCGACATTGTGCATAACCTCACCACGTGACTCAGCATACAAATCGCAGTTTGTATTCTTTACTCCATAAGTACATGATTCTTAACTTACCATAATGCAGTAATGATTGTATGTGCAATAGGTAATTTTCTGCAGCCTCTCTGCGATTGAAATCGCTTCACTGAGGAGCAATAACTACGTTATAATTATGAACGCTGTTGAATCTTACGCGCACACAACCTTCGAGTGTTTTCTCTTTTACCTATTTGTGGTGCGAGGTATCGCAGATAACACGAAAAATGAAATGCGCAAGAAGACATTGCTGCCAACATACAAGCAACAACAGTTTAGAGATCTCATGAAGCTCATGAACTTTTGTAATTGTACGATTCGTGCGCAGTGGAAAGACGTAAAATCGCAATTCGTCGGAGAAGTATATCAACACTTATTAAAAGTAAGAAATATGCATTCTCTCTTATTTTTTATAAACCAGTTTTGAGTATAGTACTTGTATTAAATTTAAGATGTTGCCATGTATAAAGTAGGTTTATTATTTCATTTGACCTATGCTTAATTTCCATAAAGCATGTTTATTTTTTTTACTAGTTTCTTAATTGCTATGTTACGTATTTATTGTACATTGTATTGTATAGGTTATCTGTTTGTGACTGGTTCTATAACCGTCAGGCGTACTCTGTAGCCTCGATTGGATCGTTGGAATTTTACAATAAATGAATGAATGTACTTGTTGCTGAGTTGCTTTTGCAGTGAAATACCATATTTTAAAGGTGTGCAAATGTTTTTGCTTCTATCCGCAGTTACGCATGTTAGGTTTTAGTAATATATATATCATAAATAATTCAGCAAATATTCCTTTTTCGGATTAAACGGTATTTCTGTCTGTGTTTTTGTTACTAAGTATTTCTCACACTAGAGAAATTTATTTCAGATTTAAAATGGGGAAGATTATGAAGGCAAACAAAGTTGTGTTGGTCTTGAGTGGCCAATATGCTGGAAAGAAAGCAATTGTAATGAGGAACTTTGATGATGGTATGCCTGATACGCAGTATAGGCATGTACTGCTGGCAGCTAATGACTGATATCCAACAGAAGTCCATAAAAGGATGGGAAATGCAAAAGTACACAGGGCTTCAAAAATTAAGCCATTTGTGAAGGTAAGTGTCCTTGGTTGTAGTATAATGCATGTGTGTAGGGAGAGGGAAGAAGAACTAGAAGTTTTCAGGTTTTATTTACAGGCGTAATTAAAGACATCGAAGGTGGCACATGTATGCCATTTCTTAGTTGAAACAAATTCTGAAGAAGCAGCAATTGTGTTGATTTTTTCTACACGCTCATACAGTCAGTATATAATTTTTGTGTAAGTTGTGGTAGAGTGCATGATTGAGCTAAAGCGTCAGGATGTACAGAAATGTGCAGTGAGTTTCGCAGTTTTTTTTATGTGGAAGTTTGGGCAGTGGATTTTATGAGTAGGTACTGCCCCACCCCCTTTTCCCTCTCCCTATAGCAGAAGTAGAAACATGAATTACATTTTTCTGGCATTTGCAGTGATGATTTTGTTGGGACACTCTTTACAGATGATATGGGTGGAGAACTTCGGAATGTAAGGACAGTGCACTTTGAGAAACACTGAAAATTATTTATTTTGTAATGCTACATTTTTAAGGTTGACATTGCCTTTTTTTATTGTGACAACCCCTCTTACTGCTGTGGGCTTACAATACTCTGAGCCATATTCTGGTTTAAGACTAAGCATCAGAAAGTCACAGTGAACTACAGGGAATTGAGATTCACTTCTGGCCGTGTTAACATGTGCCATATATTCATGATGTGTAAAGGTGATATGTTGCAAGAATACTGGCCAGTGAGTGTGGGTGGAATCTTGTGAAACAGACGGGAATGGAAGTTAATCAGTGACTGTAGCGCATTGGAAAGGGAAACCTGTGTTGCTATAATGTGTGGGGAAGGTGACACACTGGCACTGCCTCTCTGTAAACTGAATTTTTTCCATGATTTTAGATATTAATGTGTATTGCATAGTGTTTGAGAAGAGGGTGTGCTGAGGAGAATATTTGGACCGAAGAGGGATGAAGTGACAGGAGGTTGGAGAAAACTGCATAACTTGTACTCTTCTCCAAGTATAATTAGAATGATGACGTGAACAACTTTAAAATGAATTAAAATGAGAGACAGGATGGGATGGATGGATTGGGACCAGTGGAGGGTTCTAGTGAACACGGTAATGAACCTTCAGGTTCCATAAAGTACTGGGAAGTTCTTGAGTAGCTGCACTGTATGCAGCTTCCCAAAGAGGGCTCAGCTTCATAAGTGAGTGACTGCATTAGAATTAGTAGACCCTTTGTGGATAGATGCCACTTGAATTCATCAGCTTCTGCAAGCCACTCATTTCACATGATGTTCTCTTCCTTAGCTTAGCTTAGCTTGATCAGTTACCTTTAAAATTTGTGGCTCACAAGAGTAATTATTTTGGCCAATGGAATTTATTTATTAGGCAGTTGGAGAGTTTAAAATTGCAAGGAGCTCTAAAGGCGCATCCACATTACTCGTGCTTGTGCTTGTCGGGACACTTGTCTGTCTTTTACTTGTGCTCGTAAATCTTCGTCCACACTACTTCATTTGCTTGCCAGGCTTCGGCGCGTGAGGATCCGTATATTTACTCGTAGTGTGTATAGGCTGTAGTCGCATTTTAATTTATTGTACTTCAAATTGTTGAGTAAATGAGCAGTACTATTTTATATAGCTATTCTTGATATGGCTAAAAGACAAAGAAGTTATAGTTTTAACAGTGAATGGGAGGAGCAATATTGTTTTACTGAATACAGACGAAAGCCNTATGAGAAAATAACTGCATTATTGTTGAAGGAAACCAGTATCCAAGCAACGACAGAATAACTGCATTACTGTTGAAAGAAATCAGTATCCCAGCTATGGGAGAATAACTGCATTATTTTCGAGGGAAATCAGTATCCAAGCAATGACAGAATAACTGCATTATTGTCGAATAAAATCAGTATCCTACAATGACAGAATAACAGCATCATTGTGGAAGAAAATCAATATCCAAGCAACGACAGGATAACAGCATTGTTTTCGAAGGAAATCAGTATCCAAGCTACGACAGAATAACTGCATTATTGGCAAAGGAAATCAGTATCCAAGCAATGACAGAAAAACTAAAAATAAATCTAAGGTCACAGGCACAGAATCACAACCGCTTCGTTCAAAATGATTTCCATTTCGTCCTTTATTGGTCACTTTACCGTTCTAATATATTGTCACGTGTTGGCTGTGTGACGCAAGAAATAACTTCAAGCCAGTCTTGGATCTAGTGAATTTATTGCACACTTTTATCTACACTTACATAACTCACAACTTCAGTATCCCAATTACTTCTCCTGCTGAAGTCACTTTCAGCCTTCAACTATCTTGATTACATTCACTCAATACAACTCAACAACTCATAACAGCTAGATTTCAACTGGACTCCTAGGCATTCCAGGTACTTTTATAAACCCTCAGTCGGACAGCGCAAGACACACCTCACTTCACTTCACATAATCGCCGTGTTTATAGAGGCGTTGCTGGGCAACGCTGCCGAGATATGTTTACTGCAACGCTGCGTAGCAACCAACGCGCTTCGGCTCGGCACGACACGGAATCCTTACTGTTGCGTAACATAGTTCCATATCCCTTTGCCCAACAACGGTTTGACATGTCACAATATACGTTGTGCGTTCAAGTTCTAAGGTCTCCGATTTTTTCTCACACAATAATCGTACAAAAAATTTGAAACTTCTGTCACTTTTCAACGTAATCTCCCTGCATCCGTACACATTTTTCACAACGTCGACGCCATGATTCCATGGCCGCTGCGAACGCTTCTGTAGGAGTCTGTTTTGACCACTGGAAAATCGCTGATGCTTCCATTGAGCTGACTGGCGCATCGTTTCAGGATTGAAAAATAGCATCCGTGTCTCATCCATTGTCACATTTGATCAAAAGAAAGCCCCATTCATGCCTTCATCACGTGTCAACATCGCCTGGAAAATTTCCATGCTCGTAGCCTTGTGGTCGTCCACCAGCATTCGTGGCACCCACCTGGAGGACCTTTATGCATTCGCAGGTCTTCATGCAGGATTGTGTGCACAGATCCCACGGAAATGACAACTTTGGAGGCGATGTTTTCCGCACTCAATCGGCGAT